CTGTAAATGAACTTTTGCAACCATATCCAAACATTCCAACCATACAATAAGATTGGTAACACCATAACGTCAAATGCTTTAATGATACAATCAAGTGGGAGATTGATATTTCGGGATTTCTCATGAGACAGTACATGCATTATGTGTCTTTCTTCGTTTAAATTTTGACGGCAAGTCCCAATTTCCTATTTTGATTAAATTTTATTCCTAAATAATTATAAAAGTCTACCTTTCTAATTCATTATTGTCGAAAATGAAATGGGGGAGTGGGATGGGGTTCTTCGTGTCGTACCTTAGTTAACCGTAAGTTTCCATTTTAGACAGAATGATGAGAGTGAGTCTAGTGAAGTTTGTAGAGATCCAGGCTCGGCACGCATTTGAACTATGTCGTCAGCATACAGAAGCAACAGTTTTCTATCAACCAGAGCTCGAGGTCGTTAAGAAAGATTTATAATAGTAAAATTTATATTTTCTCCTTGACGAACCCCAGAGTAACTTGAAAAGAAAATAGAAGTGTATTTGCCTATTAAAACACATAACTTAATGTCACAATGTTAACAACTTACCTGTAATGAATGCACACTATATTTTTTCTTTTCTATATTTTAGAATATTTATGTGTATGTTCAAAACAAAATATTATTAGTTTTTGAAAAATCCCATTCGAATTCTAGCTAGGGCTGACGATGATATGTTATTATCACATAAATAGCTAGTTTAATCTAGTGTTAGAATAGAACGCCTCCGTTGTCTAGTGGTAATGCGTCCGGAGAGGGGAAGGTCCGGGGTTCGACTGCCTTGGCTTCCGGTAGTTCCGGTATGAGTTTGAGTGCATGATGAATTGCCTCCGATTCAGCCGTGAATACTGACAGACCATCAGGCAAGCGAACCGAATGTGCCTGGGGTTTGGAGCTGTGGATATGGATACCGTAACCAGCAGTGATGTTGAGAGGATGTTGGGTCCATCAGTGTAGATATGGGCCCAGCTGTCCCAGGTAGTTGGAATTGTGGTGATAGCTGCTGATCGTAGTAGGGTTGGGTTTTCATTTTTAGTGACTTCTGATGTTAAAGCAGTGTCAACATTGAGATGTTTTGAAGTCTGGGGAGGGCGTAACCTTTGTGGTGACTTTCAGGTGGGTGATGTCTGGTGGACGCATGATTTTGACGCGGACGTCGGAGAGGACAACCTCTTCGCCAGTAGAAGGAATGCTAAACGATGTGTGTTTCTTAACATAGGGAAAACCCTAATAGCAAACTTACTACTACACCAATACGGAAGATATCAGTACCAAGACGAAGCGCTGAACATAAGCTATCCAATGATACCACTAAATATTTACAACCAGCTATGTACAATTTATGAGGTGGCACATATGATCATAAATATAATATGTATAAAATACATGAACATAGCGCTACAGCGTGAAAATCATAGTCACAAAAAATATTTTTAAGACATGAATAAGCTAGCAAACATATAAGAGATAACATATATCAATTCAATAATCATGTCTAGTTTTTCGAGCTTATGTTTATCAAACATTGTATAATCGCACAGGTTTCTGTTCTTCCTGGGGCGGTCGGGTAGCCTAGTGGTTAAAGCGTTCGCTCGTCACGCCGAAGACCCGGGTTCGATTCCCGACATGGGTACTATGTGTGAAGCCCATTTCTGGTGTCCCCCGCCGTGATATTGCTGGAATATTGCTAAAAGCGGCGTAAAACCATACTCACTCACTCACTCTGTTCTTCCATAACGATCCGCCAATAATGCAACATGTTCAGAAGCAGAGAACACTGAAGTATTGAACGTTCTAATTGACCACACATACGTCTGAACAGAATTGTGACTCTCCTCGGGGCAAATACACCGCTCCTAAATACACATCACTGTCTTTTCCAAACATTCATTTTGAAAATTTACACCATATACACAAATCACTTTCCGCTTCGACATAAGTGACGTATATGTATTTACTAGGGCTGCAACGAATACACTATGAGGCGAATACGATTCATATCACGAATATAGGGTAACGAATACGAATATTAATTCACAATTACAATAACAAGTCAGCAGTTTATGTAATGTTTATTATATTCAGTGAAACAATAACATCATAATTTATTTGACATGGTTTGTTAATTATTAATAAATTATACATTTATATACTGCATTTATCCAGGTTCTAGTATCTGCTCAAATGCGACAATGACCAGTCGAAACAATACTATCAAATTAAATATTATTAGAGTGTCATTGAAAGAAATCTATGCATATAATATGTTGTTATGGATATTTTTAGGTATAGGGTATGTAAATATACATGATAGCATATTCATAAATATTCGATTCTAGTGGCCATGAATAACGAATTCAATTCATGAATGGTTACGGTTCGATTCACCGAATACGCGAGTGAATCGTAACAGCCCTAGTATTTACAATAATGATCTTTTACCGCAAAGCCAATACCCTCTGACCTTCTTCCCGCATCTTTTCTATGTTGCAGATATAGTTTAAAGCCTTCACTTTGTAATTTATCCAATACCTCAATTCTCGTTTCTTGAAGTCCTATTACATCAGAAGAGTGAATCCAATTTTCAAATTCGGTAAATTCAAGTCTTTTTTTCTGACACCACATATTAAGACTTGCGAGACGTACAACATTAAGTCCGTCACCACTATCAGTGATACTTTAAGTACCTAAGTTTGGACTATTATCACTGATACTGAAAGTTAACGTGTACCGGAAGCTGCTTCTAAATTGGTGGCGTTAGCACGTGGGCGGGTATTGCACAAGTCAGGATTTGCACCATCGAAGATTGGATTGTCATTAAAGGGGCCATTACACCAAACGGCGATCGCTCTGCGCTCCTTCTGCGTCCTAATATTTGACTAGAGCGCAGTGGGGTCGCCATACTCAAGAAAACTCTCTTTTGGTGTAATCGCTCCTACGACCGTTCTGCCTTCCTTTTGCGACTAAATATGTTACTTTTGTCAATGTCACTGCGTTCCCTGAACGACCTAGGCGTTCACTGTGCGATATCTCTGCGCTCCCTCTGCGTCTCCTCTGCGTCTCCTCTGCGTTCCCTCTGCCTCCCCTCTGCCTCCTTATTGCAACTAACTACCGCGCTGCCACCCCTCTACGACCAATGGCGATCGCTCAACGACCTTTCAGCGATGACTCTGCCATCTTTGCGACAGCTGAACATCCTGACTATAAAAGTCTCATCTGCAGACGATTTTTTATCAGTCTGTGTCAGCTCCTGGTGATGTCACTTGTGATGGACAACCAGCGCTTGAAAATTGCTATCATATCATCAGGTCATCAAGCACTGTTGTTACTGCAAATGAGTATTGGTTTGATGGAACCCAAACTGAACAGACGAAAATGAGAACCTGGTGGGTTCGCCTATGGTTGACACATCAAAGAAGGTTCCAATTCGGACATTATAGCCAATTGTTGCACGAGCTACGTTTGGAGGACGAAGGTTCATTATTCAATTACCTTAGAATGGAACCAAGAATGTTTGATGAAATACTTCAAAGAGTAAGCCCAAGAATATTAAGACAAAATACTAATTACAGAGAAAGTTTGGACCCTGGTCTTAAACTTGCTGTGACTCTCCGATACCTTGCTACAGGAGACAAGTATCCTTCGCTACAATACCAGTATCGTGTATCACGTAGCACTATCTCTGTGTTTGTACCTGAGGTTTGTAGAGCAATCCGAGAAGTGTACAAGAACGAAGTTATCCAATGTCCAAGAAACCCCAATGAGTGGAAGACAGTTGCAGATGACTTTAAGAACCGACGGAATGTACCTCATGCATGTGGTGCTATTGATGGAAAACATGTGACCCTGCGATGTCCCCCAAACACCGGAAGCTTGTATTACAATTACAAAGGATTCTTTTCTATTGTGCTCCTTGCGTTGGTGGATGCTAACTACAAACTTCTATGGTGTGATATTGGCGGGTTTGGTTCGATGTCAGATTTCCAGATATTTAATGAATCTGAATTGAAGGAATGCCTTGAAGACGATACAATCAATTTTCCAGTTTCGGAGCCTCTGCCACATGATGACATGAACATTCCATTCTTCATTCTAAGTGATGACGCATTTGCTCTTAGGACATACATGATAAAACCTTACTCTACAAGAGGACTGACTAAAGAGCAGCGTATCTTCAATTACCGTATTTCTCGTGGTAGACGCGTGGTAGAGAATGCTTTCGGCATTTTAGCTCAGCGTTTTCAAGTATTCCTCACAACAAATTTGTACAGGATGTTGTAGAAGCATGCTTCTGTCTGCACAATTTAATGCGCACGAGATATCCAGCTCTACAAAATGCAGCACTTGATACAGAGGATGAGAATCATAACCTTATTCCTGGAAAATGGCGACAGCTTCTAAACATGTGTGATGTCGATCAAATAGTCGGACCAAACTGTGCAACACGAGCAGGAAAACAACAACGACAGTATCTCAAGTTGTATTTTAACAGTGCAGCTGGATCTGTACCTTGGCAGGAACGCATGATTTGAACATTTATGTGACACTTGGTATGGAGTTTTAAATTGGTAGCATTTTGTACATTTGGAAACGGTTGTTATTGTCTTCATTTATTATTTATTTTCTCTGAGTTACCAACATATTAATTCATGGAAACATACTCTTAGAATAAGTGAAGTGAAACATGCTTTAATAAACTTTATTTAATCAGAAAAAGCATAGCAAGCATTGCAATGAACACTCAAATGAAAGTTTACAATAAATTGAACACTGAAATGAAAAAAAGAGAAAATAGAGATATTTGAAGTTCAAATATAACGCTAATTAAATGTAAAACAACACCAATTATTGAAGCATCAATACACATCCGTAGGAACAGTCAGCACAATATGTTTCCAGAATGTATATATAATAACATCAGTCGTTAAGCTTTTTTAAAGCAGGCAATATAAATATATTACATACTGTAAAACACGTGGCTTTATGAAGGCAGAGGAGACGCAGAAAGGAGGCACAGGGATCGCCGAGGACGTACAAGAGTCGTTGTGGTCGGCGAATAAAGGCAGAGAGGTCGCAGAGAGGACGCAGAGAGGACGCAGAGAGAAGGCACAAGGTGAACAGGATTACATCACAGATTCATATGAAGACCATTCAGCGACCTCTGTGCGTTCTCTCTGCGACCATGGCGATGCCTCTGCCTCCGTTCTGCCTCCCTTGAGCGACTAACATCGACGGCGATCTCACTGCGACTGTTTTAAGCAGGTTCAAAACTTTTCAGCGACAGTGGCGCTCTTGGCGATGGCTGAGCGTTCCCTCTGCCTCCCTTGTGCGCTCTACGCGACCGTTCTGCGACCCCTCTGCTTTCAGCGCCGACCTGGCAAAACTTAAGACTGACTGAGTATGGTTTTACGCCGCTTTTAGCAATATTCCAGCAATATCACGGCGGGGGACACCAGAAATGGGCTTCACACATTGTACCCATGTCGGGAATCGAACCCGGGTCTTCGGCGTGACGAGCGAACGCTTTAACCACTAGGCTACCCGACCGCCCCGCAAAACTTAAGAACGCAGAACGGTCGAAGAAAGGTCGCCGTCCGGTGTAATGGGGGTATAAGAGATTAAGATTGTAGTGACGTGGACATCGTGGTCCAAATTTCAACCACTATTTACGTAATTCACATGATCATTTGTATTTACGGTATGATGAGTATTGATAATACTATTCTCATGACTGATATCAACAGAGTGTGAGAGATTTACATTAACCTGACATGTGGCCAGTGTTTGTTTGTTTGTTGTTTAACGCCGCACTCAGCAATATTCCAGCTATATTACGGCGATCTGTAATTAATCCAGTCGGGACCAGACAATCCAGTGATTGATACATGAACATCGATCCACGCAACTGAGATACGATGACATGCATCAATCAAGTCAGCGAGTCTGACCACCCCATCCCGTTAGTCACCTCTTTCGACCAGCAAAGTCGCCTTTTACGGCAAGCATGGGTTGTTGAAGACATATTCTACCCCGGATCTTGACGGGTCAAGTGGTCAGTGAGTCACTGAGTGACACTTGTGTTACATGCCATTATCACCAACACATGTGCGACTGCAAGCTACATTACTCAGTGTGGGCGTCTTTATCCCAGTTATCCAACAGACTTAAAATAGTCGGTTAAACATGAATCACTTACATCACTGGTTGTAAGAGAGTTGTGTGGGAGAAGAATTTATTGCAACTCTACTGCCCACACACAATACTAAGCAAGTTCTGAGTTATTGTCGTTGAGTTACCTTTGATGAGCATGAACTCACAGTACTTGTTCAGTGTAACTGTGATTCTTGATGCCTTGAGTTTGTTTCTATTACATAGGTAATTCTCTCTAACGTTCCGGTCCTGGGATAGTCCTTTTCAAATTCCAGGGGCGGTCTAGTGGTTAAAGCGTTCGCTCGTCACGCCGAAGACCCGGGTTCGATTCCCGACATGGGTACAATGTGTGAAGCCCATTTCTGGTGTGCCCCGCCGTGATATTGCTGGAATATTGCTAAAAGCGGCGTAAAACCATACTCACTCACTCACTTATCAGATTCCATTGGGCGTAAAAACTGCATGGATGGGTTACTGAAAACGAATTAATTAATCATTGTATTCTCCAAACACAAGAGCATGTATTTAAACATATATATGATGATCAATAACTTTTAAATTTTACAGTGCTTCCTCAATTAATATTTATAATTGCAATAAATTTAGACACGTTATATTGTCGATGTATTGTTCGAACATAAGACTTCACACAGGTTAAGTCAGTTACAATAGAAAGGGGGAATGTACAGTGATCTAGATTAGCGCTACATTAAACAATTCAATGAAATTCATCGACAATAGTTGGTGTGTCACATACAAGTTATTTCTTCTTATTAGATCTTTCCAGCGGCCACTTTCTATAGGTAGATAATGGTTGGAACATCGAAATAATAGAAGGGGTAGGATACAGTGTTTGACATCTAAAAAGATTGTTCAAAAGAGGGTGGATTTTTAACAGTTTATAATAGATGTGTTTCGAGTTGTAAGCTGTATCACTGTGCTATATGTGTATAAATTGTTCTTCCATAGTGGTCTCTACAGTGGCAGTAGGTTATTATTTTCCGTAATGTCTGGGATTGTTAATCACGTATGATAATCCACAATTGTTAAGACTTGTTTTAATACAGACAGGGCAAGATATTTCTTCTCATATTAGATCTTTCCAGCTGCCACTTCTTTAGGTAGATAATGGTTGGATGTTCGAAATAATAGAATGGGTAGGATACAGTGTTTGACATCTATCAAGAATTTTCAAGTGAGGATAGATTTTTAACAGTTTAAAATAGATCTGTTTCGAGTTGTAAGCTGTATCACTGTACTATATGTGTATAAATTGGTGTTTAATATTGGTCTCTACAGTGGCAGTAAGCCATTATTTTCCGTAATGTCTGGGATTGTTTATCACGTATGATAGTCCACAATTGTGAAGAGTTGTTTTGATATAACTTAAGCAATAATTATCAGTGAAATTAACAATAGAAGGCTGTTTTATAAAAGTGCACATACATTTAGATAACTTGATAGGACATTTAGCGAAATTAGGGAAATGAATACCTTCCAAGATCACCATACACCATTTATGTTTGGGGTTGATTTTTTAAATAAATGACAAAACCCTTTCCATATCCGAGTTGATTGTACGATTCCGACTATATGATGAGCATGTGTTTATGAATCACTTTTAAAAAGTAACGATACCAGGTGTTCGCGAAAAGGTGAGCGTATCCTGCCCCACCGGTGGCACCCATCACAAACACATGCAAAGCCCCAATTTTCCAAACTTCCTAAGGATGATAGTGTGTACTGTTTCTAAGCATTTCGCCTATTTTTCAATTCTTAATGTGTTTGTGCATGTATTTCCTGCACGTCTTGGATTCATAACGAGAATATAATTTGTTTTATTTTTCTTGTAATTAATTAATGTTCTTTGCTCGCGTTACAAGTGATTTACGCGTAACTCTGAAAGAGGTGAGTGTGGCTTGGCCCCGCACGAAACATCATTTGCTGTGGAGTTAACATTGCTTGTGAGGTCATCGCGTCTTGTCTCGCTGTGTTGGCTCCATGACTGAGATTGCTTATCAGCCTCACATCAATATTGCTACAGAATCTGTTAACATCATCTTACATTTCCTTGGTTTACCCTTTACTCTGGGTGGTATACCCTAACTGGCATTCATCACTTAATTAATTCAGGATTGGGACATTGGGAAAGGGATATTGGCGAATGAACATCAGAAAATAATAGGGAAACTCCAGAATTGCAAAATCCCGCAGGGAGACACGACTAGGAGCTTATGACATAATCTTTGCCAAGACGATGGTCTTTACCAATTCTTCCATTACAAATACATAGATTGAGAGTTTTGCATATTTCAATAAGCTTGTGGCCGTGTGGATATACTCTTCCTTCGTCTTGACTGTATCTTTCTTCTTTCTTTCTTTTTTTTTTTTTTTGGGGGGGGGGGGGGGGGGGTGTTCAAGGGTATCCAGAACATATTCGGAATTTTTTTTTTTTTTTCATTTTCACACTATCTAATCCATGTGTATATGTACTTATCAGCTGATAAATAATCAGGAAGGTCGATGGTACTTGCAGTAAATTCTCCTGACAACATGCCCAGAGTCACTTAGTGAGAGAGCATGTGGCATGGACTCCTCTATTACCACAAACTTACCTTCCGTTATATAATGTGATCCTTCAGGTTGGACATGTACAATACTAAGTAATAGGCCCTGATCAACGTTAAACAGATCCCTAGAATATTAATCCAGAAGAAAATCATTACTTTGTTTATAAACTAATATATAATGAGCGTATTTTTCCTTGATGGCTACAGTCAGACCACATAACGTCTCACTGATTTATTATCCCTCTATTGCATATAAAGCCTGTAATTTTCAATATATAAATCATGGAGTATATCGGTTTTAGTTTCCTCAAAACGTAAGATATTTCCACCTCCAATCGACTTGATAAATTCGGGGTATTATAGACTATTACGAAGTCCACGTAGAATAATTATTGTATAACAAAAATAAGATTTAATATCCCGGTACACAATGACTAGGTAACTCCTGTGTGACCTTAATTTCATGATGAACGGTCAGAGGCAGTCATGGGTACAATGTGCACAAGGTGCATGAAATCTGTGTTTGGATGTGTCGTGACAGAATCGTTTCACATCATTTCCAGTGAGCACAAGAACATTTGCTACCCAGGATTGCAAACACTGGATGCACTTTGTCGTTTGAATTAGGCAGATGAATAGGCATGCTTGAAACTGGGTCAAAACAACGTCACGTTGCAAACGTTTCTGGTGTTTTAGCAGGGCATGGAAAAGATACCAGATGTTTGGATCAGCGACATGTAGGTGGTCGACAGCGTTCCACCACACAACAGGAAGACTTGATTCTCTCGATACCAGCAAAATGTCATCCCTTCGTGACTGCCACCACATTCAGAAATGACCTGCGGAACGCCAATGGCGTTTCTATTCAGATAGTGCGCATAATCGCATGATTCACACCCCACTGACCCGACATCACAAGCAGGCGCGTTTGGATCTCGTCAGATGGACAGACCAGGACCAGGCTCCAGTACTTTTCACTGATGGATCGATATATTGTCTAGACTTCACAGAGCGTCGTTCCCGAGCGTTGCGTAGACAAAGATTTCAAGGTTCTACGGTCACCGAACATGAACGCTATGGAGGGGGCTCAATTGTGATTTGGGGTGGGATCAGTAGAGCTAGAAGACCCGATCTCTAGTGGCGCACAAGACCGTATACTGGTGCAATCGGGTCACTCTTCATTAACAATTATACACGACCTCTTCATGCCAGGGTCGCTGGTGCCCACTTAGAACAGGCGACCATTGTCCGCATGGAGTAGCCAGCCCGATCTCCAGACCCCACCCCATCGAACACATGTGGAACGAACTGCAGATCGCCCTCTCACGACGCTCTGTCCTTCTGGCAACTCTACAGGAACTCAAAGATGTTCTTACTGAAGAGTGGAACGGTCTTCCCTTGGCAACCATCCAGCCACTTATTGGGAGCATGAGACGACGGTAC